CCCCTCCCAGAGGAAATAAAACAGGAGCAAAAGGGGAGTGGAGCTTGCAGAAGACCATTAGTTCACTTAATTGATTTGTGACTCTCCGAGACTCCTTGCCAAGTTTTGCAGATATCGGCCTGTCAGCTCTTCAATCCAGATAAGGTCTGTGACTGTAAATCCTCCCTTGAACGACTTTGCTGGATGTGAATGAGCAGAATTCACAGTAAATTAATACAAGGTTTTTTTTGTCGGGACAAAGAGTCTGCGTCATGCTCTTGGGAAGCCTCAGTCAGAACATATTCCATGAATTGGAGCTTAATGCAATGTCTGAATCAAACCTCTAATTCAAAATCATATCAGACTGATACGATCAACTTTAAAACAATAGGCAGTGGAAATCCCTGGCAGATACACCCAGAAAAAGCCCCCCCCCCCCCCAAAAAAAATATTTTGTGTACTGTACTTCCAGGATCAAAGGGTTAAGATTAGACTGCAGGGCACGTCATTCACACAGGAGATTTTGTGCATCGACCCTTCAACCGTCTTTCAAGGTCAGCCTTATCCGGAGCGACTCACCTGCTTGCTCCATCCTTTGACCTGCTGCCTGACGAGGAAGTCTTCTGCCAGCGACACGGCCTGGGCGCAGGTCCTCGGAGCGTTTTCTCTCAGCCAGCTCTGCATATTCGAAGGCAGGATGGCCAAGAACTGCTCCAACGTCACCAAATCCAAGATCTGGTCCTTGGTGTGCTTCTCCGGCTTCAGCCACTCGTGGCAAAGTTCTTGGAGATGCTTGCAGAGTTTGCGAGGCCCTTCGGCCTCTTGGTAACAAAGCTCCCGGAACTGCTGGCGCTGTTTCTCCACCCTGGCCCCAGGCCCACTCCCGGCCCCCTTCTGCCCCCTCCCGCCCGGTGCGGCTTCCTGAGAACTCTCATAGTCCCCCTGGGCTTCAGCGGCCAGGGGTGGCTGGGCCTGAGTCATCCAAAGTACTCTGGGACAGTTGCTCGCATCCCTCATCCTCTGAGAGAGCACCTGGGTGGTTTTAGGGTCACCCCAGGCCAGTGAAGGGCTGTCTCTGCCGGCATCAGGAGCCTGCAGCGTCTTCAGGAACTCCTGCAGTTGGGCATCCCAGTTTCCAGATGGCCCTTCCTCTGGCTCTTTTTTCACTTGGTAGATAAACTCCTGCTTAATCTTCCCGGTTTCTGGGAAATCTTCTCTTTTCCTTCCTTCTCCAGATTGAAGGCCTGAGGAACACTGCGCTTCCATTTTTATTTCCGGGTCTACGTTTTCTTTTAGGAGACCCTTGGTTGCCTCTGTTTTGTGTGTGAGGGCCATTTCTTCCGCAGAAGCTAGCTTTGTTTTATTTTGCCTTCCTCCTTTTCAGCGTCAGTCCTTGAGGACCACTGCAGAAGTCTTTTTAGGTCTGTCCAGTATCAACAGCCTAAAAGAATCATTCAACAAAGCTATTTGGAAGGAAAGCAGCCAAGCATTCAAAAATTTCTAACTGCCGTCTTTGAGATAACAGAATTTCCTCTTGCTACCTGCCCTGAAAAACAGAAAATGATTGGACTAAAAATATTCCAACATTTGCAAGTAAATACATAAAAATACAAAGAGTATTGATATTTATTTATTTATTTATTTATTTATTTATTTA